AAAAATAATATAGCACCATACCACTTGTCAATGAAATAATTCCTAAAATTGGCATTTGAGTATCACTGACGTGTAATATCTTACTAATTGACATGAGGTGACTCTTTACAACACAATTAGCAACAAGGAATATATTGCTAAAAGAATGATGGTCTACTATTCACGGAGTGATCAGTAAAAAGAGATAAATTGCTGAAAATAGGGTGGTTACTATTCATTAGATTATCAACAACAAGAGTCTTGTTGTTGAAAGTAGGCGGGCTTACTATTCATTAGATTATTAGCAACAAGGATCATGTTGTTGAAAATAAGGTGTTATATTGTTAAGAGAATTATCAGCAACAAGGGACATATTCTTAAAAAAGTGCCAAAATTCTAGTCACCGGTTCCGGTAATGATTTTTAGCAACATAAAACATGTTGGTGATAATATAGTTTCAAACAATGAGTATATTGCTAAAAAGGGTGAAAATTTCTGGTGACCGACTCTGGTGAATTTTTTAGCAACATGAACCACGTCGGTGAAACTCCATTTTCAGCAACAAGGGATATATTATTGAAAAGGGTGCCATGAATCAATAATGTGGATCTCATTGCTGATGTATTACTGACCACAACTTCTCCAACAAAGGCATCAACAACATGAACCATGTTGCTTTAGTACTTTCAGCAACATGGGATGCACTTTCACCGATGTGCTCCCGTGTTGCTGAAAAATGGATTTTTAGTTGTGATCAACAAAATGTAGTGTATGCTTTAAGTTGTATGCATGGGTATGAATGGTCATGAGTAGTACTAAAATAACATATATGTTTGGGCATAATATAGACATATGTTGTGATGTAAAGAGGCTGCTTACCTCTCGATTTTGGCTCTATTGGTATCATTGAGTTTTGAATTGTGTTACCATTAATTATATATACATATTATACCTTAAACCGCGTAAAAACACAATTCATCTTTATTTTATTTTTTAATTTTTAATAATCATAAATTTTTATAATAATAATTAACTATAAATACATGTTAAGTTCAATTCTATAGATGTAAAAGACTATGTAAGATTAACACTACGACCATAAAGGGGGATGAGTGGAAACGAAATATCAATTATCATATGTTCCAACTTTCAATTAGCAAGTGGGGAAGCCATTTGAAGGTCGAAGACTCAAAATATAAATGCAAAATGCTTGCTTCTACAGTTCTACTCCTCTTGGGCATACTACACAATAGCTAAATATCAAATTCCTATATAACCCCTAATTTGACAACATGCCTTTTTACGTGCCTAAATTCGCGAAGTTTAGCCGATATGAAGGGCAGCTGAAGGCTTTTTCAAAGAACATGATGCTAACGACGACAGCCACCTGAGCAAGTAGGAGTTGAAGAAGTCAAGAAAGCCTTTGAAGAGCTTGGTTCATCCATCTATATCTATGTTTCTGCATGTTGCCCTCCATATTCTGTTGGAAATAAATAATTTTCAACATCAAGATAGTTATATCAAAAATGTATCAAGGTTTAAGTATTGCTTATACTCAACTACATTATATGCTCAAGCTTTTTTATTTTTTTATTTTTTTATTTATCGGTCTATGACTGGATGGAGTCTGTTCTTTTGACAATGGGTTTATTGATGATCACAACCTTGAAGTAGAGAAAAACTCAAAATATCAGAATCCTATATTTTCAGAATGTTAATTCAAGAGAACTCTTTAGGGAGGTGACTCTGAAACCAAATATGTTTGGGGGGTAACTTTGAGGTTTTTCCTTAATTTCTTGTTTGATATAGCTATCAAGCATGCGTCAGTTTTTACACTCCATACTAAGTCACATCTTTATCTTCGGTCTTTGTTTCCTAACTTCAAAAACACCATTATTTGATGAATATTGTCAAAAACCAACTATTAGACTTAATGATCTATTCTTATAGATTATGTATATTAATTTTTAAATTAATAAAATATATGTAACTAATTCATTGATTATAAAAAATTTATCATCGTTAAATATATATTAGAAATTACAAGTTTCTTGATGAATAATTTTATATGTTAAATCATCTTAAAAATTAATATGTATGATTTATATTAATAAAATATTAAATCTAATTGTTAGTTTTTGAAAATATTGGTGCTATTTTTGAAATTGGGGCTTTAAATTTGGAAAATTATTAATAAATCCTCTAGTTTGGCATGCCTTTCAACACTAACCCGTTTAATTATTAAAATATAATATAAATATAATTAATTTAGTTAATTCTTATATACTGTATCTATACCTATATCTTTAACGTTGTTTACTTTAATTTTAAATAAAAAAATATAATTTTTTTAATAAATATGTTATATAGCGTATTGAATAAAAAAATATAACAATTAGTATCCTTAATTTTTATAGAAGAGTTAGGACTAATATGTACATTTTCAATATATACACATATATATAGAAAAGCTTAATTATGTATTTGTTGAAGTATCAATTGTATTCTGTCTATTTTGTTGATCTCAAATACACATTAAATTACTAACGATATAAATAACTCAGTGGTAACTTCCTCCCGCTAGAAGTAAGAGATCCTGAATTCAAGTCGCATTACATGTAAGTGGGATAAGATAAAGGATGGGAAAATGTTGCCTCCTGTTGTGCAACCAACATAAAAAAAAAAAAAAAAATACACATTAAATCATTATTTCATGTTTAGTTGTAGTACAATAAGTAATCTTTTTTGTGATCCAAATAGAATAAGTATAAAATTGAAACCAAAGAACTGGAATATAAACCGGAACAAGGTATTCTACCCTTTCAAAAGATTATATTCCAATGCCGTTAAAAAAAAAAAAAAAAAGAAGACTATATTCCAATTGAAAGACTTAAAAGTGCCCTGGAACTACTTGTATTGAAGCAAATCAGGTTCAATACTTTTTTACTTTTTTGGAGTGTTATTGAGCCAAGCTAGAAAAACTTAAGACCGTATAGTGGATGATGGTTAATGAGGTGGGGGGCGGGTATCTGCTAGTGGATTTGACTCAAATTACAGGAGGGTGATATGCCTCATAAAAAACGTATAGGGACTAACTTGCCTCAACATCACAAGTTTTCAGGTTGGATTTTACATTTTTGCCTTTCACTGTCAACAAAAGGTATTTGCTCCGGTCTACCACTGATAACATGGGCCCTTTTCGCAGACCGGTTCTGCAATGAGAAGCTGGTAGTGCAAATAGCTAAAACCGGTGTCAGGAGCCGAATGGAGCAACCCATGGTGATTGGGCAGGAAGAGGAGATTGGGGTGTTGGTCAAGAAGGAAGATGTTAAAAATGCTATAGACCAGTTAATGGATGGAGGCAATTAGGAAGCTGAAGAGAGAAGAAAAAGAGCCAGAGAACTTGCTGAATGGCAAAGAAGGCTGTTGAGGTCGGGGGATCTTCTCACCGGAGCATCACACAGTTGATCCAAGATATCATGCAATAATCTCTTGTTAAGGGCCTTCGTAGTACCTGAGGGAGATACACAGAAGCAAAAAGAGGTGCTTTATCCATTCTAAAGTTTCAAACTTCTTTCAATAATCATGATTGTAGGGTGTTCTTCTCAATCCAGCTATAAAATCTGCTGCTTATAATTTTGTTTCAACATTAAAATGCACCATTCAAACAGCATATGTGAAAAAGCTTCCCTTTCGAAGCTTAAATTTGAACCCATTTTAACTCTTTAAGTTCATGTTGCTTCTATCTCCTTACTCCCTATACTTTAACAATGGTTGTAAAATCTGGTTAGTCTGAGACATGAACCTATCTAATACAGTAATAGGCTTTTTTTATGGCAAAAAATAAGGGAGAAACATAAATAAATGCAAAGTTTTACGCCCAAAAAGGAACAAGACGTCCAATTAGAGTAAGATGACTTGAATCACTTGATCTGGATCGGTATCATTCCAATTTGGACGCAATCTTTTCATGATCATCCATAACACAAAGCAGCTCCAAAAATGAACTGGAGGACCTCAGACTCAAAAATGGCAGAAGTAGCTGCTATTTGCTGAAGATAATGCACTTTAAACCATTTTCATTATATTTGTCTTTAAATAGCTTTAGCGGTTTCCGTCCTAGATTCCACAATTTAGAAAGACATGGCTTATCCATTTTCCATTCTGTACTTTGGTATTTAATAATTGGCCTAACATCTAAATATAAGCATGATTGTTAGAGAAATGAAGTATTCTACTTGACTTTTTCCACTGAATGTAGGTTCAAAATCCTTGATTGAAGATGCAGCAATCGATCATTTCCCAAGTCTGGTCCATTATTTTCTTTTGATTGCACCGGCTCCTTTTCTGTCAGTTGAATAAGAACACTAATCCTGATAATGCAATCTTGGAGACAGAAATACGAGAAAGATGAACTCTTCAATGTGAAATAGAGTATTAAGTGAATAAAAATCACCCACCAAGATCCTTGGCTTTCTAAACCACATCCAGGATTAAAATTTAAAGCATAAAAAAATAGACTACCATTTTTCCCATTTCTCTTTTGCCTTTCTGATCGTCAGCTTACCATCTTCCCATTTCCATAGTGCCAAAGAAGTTTATGGGCAAAATTCAAGTTCTATCGGCAGCCATATCTGTGGTCCCTTTAGTGCTTGGCAGCACCTTCCTTGTAAACGTTGAAATATGCATTCTTATTGTCCATACAACACAGAAGGGCAGAAGATAAATGATAAGAGACAGAAAAATCAGAAGGCAACATGGTGCACAAATTCTATTCTTTCTGTAGTCTCCACACCAATACACCATGCCATTCACAGAAAAACCAATATTTTTTGTGTAGGCTCTTATATCAGCAGCAATGTAATATATGTGCTAGAGTTAATTTAGCATTTCTTATATATTACAAAAGTTGAAGGGCTTTCTACTTAAGCCACTTATCTGTTCCATCCACAACGTATCATCATGGGTTCTCTAATTGAGTAGCCTCACTTGATCCTGTTTCCTTTCATGGCTCTAAGCCACATGAACCCCATGGTAGATATTGGCATGTTGTTGGCTCAGCATGGTGTGATGATTACCATAGTTACATCATCCTATAATGCAGTACGATTTGAAAAGATACTTACTCGTGCCACAGAATCCGGGCTCCCTATTCAGGTGGTGAAGCTTCCAGTTCCCTACATCGAAGTGGGATTACCAGAAGGTTCTGAGAATCTGGATATGCTGCCTTGTCTAGACTTATTGTTGAAGTTCATCAAGGCAATTGATATGCTGTAAGAACCAGTTCAAAAATTGCTTGAGGAGCTAACACCATGGCCCAGTTGCCTTATTTCTGACGTGTTTGTATTACACTAGCAGGATTGCTTCTAAGTACCAGATTCCAAGGATTTCATTCCATGGATTTTGCTACTTTTGTCTTGTTTGTCTGCGCAAGATACATGACTCTGTTGAATAAAGTTTAGATTTTTGTAGTTTTCGAAGTATTGTGCCTTCACAGGCTGCAACAATTTAGTGTTTGATTTTTTGATGTAATTTGACCTTTGGTTAGGTAGCTTTTTGTTAACCTTCTGTCAGTATAGACACTTGAGTAGGGGCTAAAATTAAGCTACTTGTAGTTTGGTAAACTACTCTTCCTCTTTCACGCAAGCTTGTGTTTATTTTGTAAAAAAGCAGAAATCAACAACAATTTTAGTGTTCTGCTCATTTTTCTCTCTATTTTGTCTCTCCATTTTTCCTTTGAGCAAAAATGTTACACGATATTAGAGCCTCCTCTGATCCTTGAGAGGTTGTGAGGAGTGAAAATTGAGAGTGAATGACACCCAAACAGAACCCAAACACCTTGAACCCCAAAAATGGAATCTGGTTCTAGTTTCACAACAATAACACTAGTTTTCAATGGTCATAACTACCCAGTTTGGTCAGTCAAAATGAAGGCTTATCTAAGGGCCTTCAACCTCTAGGAAGTGGTGGAAACCGACCAGCAGCCACCACCTTTAAGGCAAAATCCCACCTTTGCTCAAATAAAGTAGCATACTGAAGAAGTTACAAAAGGTATAAAGCCTTGACTTGTATTCATTCTGCAGTAACTGATGAGATTTTTGACAAAATTATGCGTTGTGAAATAGCCAAAGAAGCATGGGACTTGTTGAAGGTAGAGTTTCAGGGTGACACCAAGGGAATTCAAATGCAAGTTTTGAATCTGAAAAGGGAATTTGCTGTTTTGAGGATGAATGAGTCTGAAACTGTCAAAGAGCTTTTAGATAGAATAATGAAGATTGTGAATCGAATCAGATTGTTGGGTGATGAAGAACTCTCTAATAAGAGGGTTGTTGAGAAGGTGTTGGTTAGTTTGCCAAAAAAATTTGAGCACAAGATTTCCTCTTTGGAAGACTCAAAGGATCTTTCCAAAATTCCCTTAACTAAACTTATCAACTCTTTACAAGCTGTTGAACAGAGAAAAACCTTAGGGTTCGAAAGCAATGTGGAAAGTGCTATCTTGGCTATTGAAAAGGGTAAAAGCCAACAAAAGGAGGGAGCAAAGAAGCAAGTTTTTTATAAGAAATGGAAAGAAAAGAAGGAGTTTCAAAGAGATTTCGAGGGCGGTAGATATAAGGGTAAAAATGAGTCATTTCCTCCTTGTATTCACTGCAAAAAGACAACTCACACAAAAAATTTTTGCTAGTTCAGGCTTGGTGTTCAGTGCAGGTCCTATAAGGGAATTCGGTCATGTTGAAAAGGTTTGCAAATCAAAAGCAAACTCTACATCACAAGCTCAGATTGTAGAGAAACTTGATCAACAAGAGGAGAAGTTGTTTGTGGCCACTAAAGTTAAAGCTTGCTATGCTGTGAGTCTCAGTTGTAATGTTTGGTTGATAGACAGTGGATGTACTCACCATATGACTCCAAATGAGAGCTACTTCAAAAGCCTTGACAAGAGTTTTACCTCTAAAGTCAGATTGGGTAATGGAGAGCTAGTCGAAGTCAAAGGAAGGAGAGTAGTAGTTGTTGATACACCAATAGGTATCAAGCTTATTTATGATGTTTTATTTGTTCCTGAGATTAGCTACAACCTTATTAGTGTTGCTCAGCTTGTTGAAAACAAATACTCTTTGCAATTTCATGATAGGCTATGTGATGCATTTGATGAATTTGGAAATTTGTTGTTATTTGTTAAAATGATTGATAGGAGTTTTCCTGTTGAATGGAAAGAAACTCAGATAAAGGCTTGTGTGAGTATTGTTGATAATTCTTGTGTTTGGCACAAGAAGTTTGTCACTCTAGTTATCAATCTTTGCTATTGATGTAAAAAAAGAGCATGGTTTCTGGTATGCCTCTTGTTCATGTTGATAAACATGTTTGCAAAGTGTGTCAACTTAGTAAGCAATCGCAATTGCCTTTTCCATCTGGTCAAGCTCATAGAGCTTCTATGAACTTGCAACTAGTTCACACTAACATTTTTGGTCCTATGAAGACTACTTCTTTGAATGGAAATAAATATAACCTGATTTTTATTGATGACTTTAGTAGATTTTGTTGGGTGCATTTTCTGAAACAGAAACCTGAGGTATTTGATGTTTTCATCAAGTTCAAAGCCTCGATTGAAAATGAGTGTGGTTTGAATATTAAAACACTTAGATCTGATAATGCAGCTGAGTATACTTCTCATAGATTCTAGTAGTTTTTGCAACAACATGGAATTCATCATTAGCTCACAATTACTTACACACCTCAACAAAATGGTGTGAGTGAAAGGAAAAACATATCTATTTTGAATATGGCTAGGTGTTTTCTATTTGAGAAGAACTTGCCCAAGAATTTTTGGGCTGAAGCAGTTTACACTGCTTGCATTTGTAGAACAGATTGCCAACAAAAGCTATTGAAGGCAAAACTCCATTTGAAGCTTGGTTAGGGAACAAACCTACTGTAGATCATTTTAAAGTTTTTGTTTGCATTTACTATGTATTTATACCAAATGAAAAGAAAGGCAAGTTAAATGAAAGGGCAAATACTTGCGTTTTTATTGGTTATAGCCTACAGTCTAAAGGTTACAGAGTTTTCAACCTTATGACTCAAAATATTGAAGTTTGTAGAAGTGTTAGGTTTGATGAAAGTGCAGCATGGGATTTTTTCTTGAGTTTTATATTAGTTTGAATCAATTTTTTTAACTGATCTTAAACACAAGCAGCGTCTTGGACTTTTATTCCAGACGTTTTGATTTGATGCGCCTATTGAATCTCCAAATCCAGAGCATTTGATCTAAATTTTGACTTAGAAAGTATAAATCCATTCACACAGAGACCAACATCGGAAATTTTTATTCCGGACGTTTTGGTTACGTCCACTGAATTTCCACATCCAGATCAAAATAACATTGAAAAATTCAATTCAAAAAGAAGTTGAACCAAAGCATATGCTTAAACAGGAACTCGAAATGCCGACATAACACGTCCATTGGAATATACTTATGTATGCTCTTACGCGGGGACAGAGCTAGACTTTCGAATAAGGAGAGCAAATTAATTTTTAAAGTTATAATAAATTCATATCAATATAATTTATATTAATTTTTAATTTTTAATTAAATACTTTATTAATAAAATTATATATAATTTTAACTACAGATTTAAAATTTGATTCATAATTTTTATATATAAAAAAATTATATCAATTGTTATATTAATCACTAATTTTATGTATAATAATTTATATTAATTTTTAATTTTTAATTAAATA